CTCTTAAATAGAATTTCTGTTTGTTTAAGTAAACATGGAGATACAGTGATGGTTATGTGAACTATATTTACGATTTGTACGACCTTTAACCTATTAAGGTATTTATTGGAAAATGTCAAGGTCTGTCCCTGAGATGATATTCTTAAGTTGTATTTGATATTGACGTTATAAAAGAACACCGCATTTGTCTTAGCATCGGCATGGTATCAGTTACATAGTAACGCTTTTAATAATTGGGGTTTTCTATAGCGCACAAAGTCCCTGGTGATCAAAATACAAGCCTAAACTCATCATTTAGGAGCTTGAAAATGAGTATTTGATTGTGTCTCATGGGTGTTATATATTTCATGTAATCAGAGAAAACGTTATTTGACATCAATAAATATGGGATTACTAGTAAACCATTACGTTTAATTGCGTCTAATTCTAACACAAAGAATTCCTACTCGATATTGCCATTAAATTTGCAATCTCAACTAAAATGACTTTTGACTTTTCGATTCGATAAGACAGTTTCAGTGAAACATCAAATTAACGTAGCACCGAACTTTTGTTATAATAAATATAGGATCTTAGTGAGTTTTCATTTCATATGAGATTTTATAAAACGAGTCTTGGGATTTTATTTTTTATTTTTGCATGCCTTGGCGAGCAAAAAATTAAAACTCCGAGACGAGTTTCATAAAAGCTTATACGAAATGAAAACAAATTTAAGATACTTTTTATCACATAACTCAGAAAACGTACATTTTGACAGGTTTTAAAGCCAAAATGCAGCGAGCTTCATCAAATGGTGACAACCATTTTGTTGCGCCATTTACAATTGATGACGTCACGTCATTGTCCATATTATGACGTTACAATCGATTTCTGACTGGCACAGCCAATGTCAAACGCTCCAGTGTATATTTTACTAGTCACATATGTAAACATATTACACGGGCGAATTCACCGGATAACCGTCCGATTATGTGATAAAAACACTATACACTGTTTTGGGATAGAAAAAAAACCCAAGTTAAAACAGAGACAATGAGAGTAGAATGGAACCTGGCTTTACTGACATCAAGAGGGATAGATCAGTATTATATATCTGATTATGGGGCTACACAATATTTGTTTCGTGAATGCTTTTAAAACAGCAGTTGTATATAAAGTCATGTTCCACTAAAACACAAATCAAATATAAATTCAATCAACCCTCTTATTGGCGGCAAACTGGCACTAAAGCAAAACATTTTTCTGAATTAAACGTTGAGACATGATGATTTGTTGATATAGAACGAATTTGATGCATTATCCTAATTGCACAGACAACACGACATAAAAGGTTTATCGAAATTATACAGTGCTCAAAACAATACAGTAGCTGTATTTATAACTGTCGAAATTGAGAGCAATAATGTAAATTCTGTGCGATTTAAATGACGATATAACGTAGGGTTGTTGACAGTGTAATGATCTCCTATCGGTGTCGAACTGTATCGGGAAAATATGCGATCAAACTGTTCGTGCAGAATTATGCAAGTGAAAATGTTCAAAGCATTGCGTGATTTTTCTTTGTTTATCTGGGATTATGTCAATATATCCATCGGTTTACATTTAAAAGTGTATTGACAATAATGCTGCCACGATGATGAGAAGTTCAAGGAAACTCCTAAAGTACATTGACCTTGCGGAATATCCAGGATAAATATGACCAAGTCCATTAATGAGTTAAAGCAACATGTATGATAGAAAATAGAACAAAGTGAATAAGAGACTTCATGCTTTTGTGGAAAACAGCGAACCAGCAGGACTGTTATTGCGTATTTGGAGACAATAAGATTGCAGACTTATATTAACCATACCCAAATTATTGTAGAACTTGACCCAAAATGCTCCCATTAGATACTGCAGCAAGGCAACAGGAGAACTGAGTCGGCCACAAATCTCGCTAATGACACCATTGATCAAAAAGGACATTCAATTAGGCAATTACCTATCAGTGTTGATCAGATCCGTGACCCAAATCACTGTTATGAGATTAATGTCGTGTCAATGTAACAGCTAGTTTATGGGATGAACTGTGTTTTGTTCGCGCTATGCATGATATATGGATGCCCTCTGCAAAATGACCTGAGGCATAATTTCTCATTTAGTGTTTAGAGGCCTAAATTCGTGGATCTTCATATCATATAAATACAATGAATAAAAAACAAAATAAAATTATAAAGAAAAACAGCGTTTACAGCACGAACCCACACACAAACTGGGTTTGTAATAATTGTCAGAAGGGCTAAAGTTTCATTCACCGCATGTGGTACATGTACCTGCCATGACACGGCCAGAACAGCATGACGGTTAGCTAAAGTCTTGAATAAAATGAGCATGTCTTGATTCATGCATATGTTTCAACTTCGTATTTGGAAATATTTACTGATGTCAAGTTCAATGACGCATACAAAATCGTCTTTTTGAGAATATATGCAGAGCAAGTAGTATTGGTCAATGCGAACGTCTAGAAAATTAAGGACTCTTAAGGATCGTACTGTACCTACTGCAGCATGCAAAACATTGGATGTGAGTATGTGGGAGGAAGCGTAAACGATAGATACATTGCTTAAGTCGTTGCTTTCGACCTTTTTGCGATATTTAATAAAACAAAATATAAAACTAAAAAGTCGAGCCAGAAACGTTTAAAGCTTCTTCTCTGACAAAGATTGTGAAAAGGAGAAGTGCATATATACCGGCCTATTATGTAAAACAGAGAAGGGTACTGATTACAGCAAAAGTGTCTTTACTACTTGTATCATACGTTAGCTGCATGTTATGTTTGGAAAATTTGTTTTCGTTGTTTGAATAATGAGGTCGGAGTTAAAACAAATGGTTCTATACTATGGTTGGAAATTAGTAGTATTCCTGGCTGCTACTTCAGAGCATGCTGGTGAAATTCTTATTGATATAAACAGCAGAAATGGTACCATATTTGTTTTTTGTCTCGCGAAAAGTTGTCCCTCCTGTCAAAGTAAAACTAGTCACAATCTTTTATAGATTTATATTGTATCTATCATTTATCAGCTTCCCGATAGCACAACTGTACGGCGTGTTGGTAATGGAGCCAACAAACACGTCAGTGTAATATTAATACAACCACAAATCATGTCGAAACTTCTCGCCAGTTTCTAAAATACTTCATGTCTGTATCACTTGCGTTTTAATTGCCTGCCAGCATGATAGATTAAATCAGTGTTGTATTGATATAAAATGCTGAAATGTGATTTGTGGAATTAGTAATATGACGCATGCGTCTATGAACATTGGACATATCGGTGCCAATACCGGCATCATTAATTGGAGAAAACTAGTGTAAGACCATTATTTTGGAACATCATACATTTATTGTAAGAGCTCGAGAAATAACGAGTTCAGTTGTATTGCATTTCAAGTTATGATGATAATGATTTTGAAACAAGTCTGGGTTCGACCACAGGAGCAAATACTTTGATACTTTTGTATGGCCGAATTTGACAGTATAACAAGTTATATTGCACGTCATATTGACGGGACAGAATAATGAACTATATTGATGGTTGTGCATTGGTGGATCCCACAGCGTATTTTACTATACTGATGATTTTACTCGCCCTGATCCTACAGTATAAAACGATAATCCATGGACAGATTTCACAATGAAATTGCATATATTGATTATTAGACATAAACATGACACGATCCTAAATGTTTAATTAACTATATTGATGGTTATACATATAAATCAACGATTTTCTGATATTCAGTGCTATTCAATAGCACCTTACAGACATGTGCAAAATGCAAGGCAAGCGTCATCTTATGCATGTGCGATATTTCTGTTAGAAATGATATAATACAAGAGTGATATTGATTAACATTAGTACATTGAAAAGATTCTAAGAGCTTGTGCTTTAAATATTATGAATTCCGTGATAGATGTTGACGGACAACTAACAACTCATTGGTGAGTCTCGTGGTTTCGTTGTCATTACCCGAGTTCTCAATATAAGGACTTGGCATTAGTTTGACTTGACCTATATCTACATGGCAGATGTCACCGATAAAGAAGAAAACGCCTACCCTCCGGAACACATGGTCTTACTGTCCTTGCATTTCTTCACGGTTCTCCATGTAGATATTTCTTTTATTCAAATTTTGCCCTAGTTTTAACAAGTTTGAATTCCAAGTATGGTTTGTTAGGTATTGTTTTTAATTATCGAAATGTATCAAAATATAAATGTTCAATGACACCATCTTCAACGTTGATACTAATAAATTTAGAACGCAAATGAAAGTTTCCTTGAAAATTGGTTGTTACCAAGACAAACTAAACCATGATACATGTATTCTATGCACAACAATTATGTATGGCTTTGCAATTATGGTTAAAATATCTCAAAACGAGTCACACATGAAGTTAAGATGTGCACATAGTTCTATATTCTGGACTGATCTATATTACTCCAAAAACATGTCCATTATGTTTAAACTATATCACGAATTCAATAGAAGATTCATTTCAGCTATTTGAGAATCTTAACTCAGTGTTTATGTTTTTGTTAAACTGGAATTTTGAGCAGCCTACGGTTACGAACGTTGAAATAAAGGATGCATATGTAAACAAAGAACATAAAGTGCCCGAGGCATTTGAAAAATAATAGTAGAAAGAGTCTTGTCATACTACCTAGGAACCAGAAGCAATGTCGACGAGACAAAAATACAGCGTCTGAGCTACTTGATTGTTTTCATTTGTGCATGCTGTATCTATAACCAAAGTTTAAATGTGCTATCATCATATGTGAGTGTTTGGTTTATCCTTCATAGCATTGTACAACAATGGTTACTCACCAGTTCTGAAACTAACCTAATATAGGCAGCACACCACATGTATCGCTGGTTTAGGGTTCCACATTAGAAAATGTTGCCAATGATGTTGGTCATTTGCACATAGCATGACATTTAGTTAGTTAATTAAGATTACTTACCAACTCGTCCACCAAATCGGAGAGTTTTTGAAGCTGTTCTGTGGAGAGATCTGGGTTGTCCAGTACCATTGGCATATCCATGGCATCCTCGGTATCCTGTACGATGGGAGGGTAAAAACTGTCCATGTCGCTATAACGGTCCGAACCTGAGACTGGGTCCTCACTCCTTAAAAGTAACTTTTTTAAGAAAAGTCCACTGTTTTCTCCACTGTTGGGTAATGCTGATGGGGGACCTGACCGTTTACCGTTACCTGTCAACATAAATATATTTCTCTTGTAAAAGACAATGCTAGTGTAAAAAAGAAGGTGTCGATCTCGTGTATGCAACTATACTTTGAACATTCGTAAAATCAAGGAAGATGTACATTTTTGAATCCGTATCAATGAAAAATTACCATATTAATAAAAAAACCTAAACAAATAACAATTAATCACTGCTTGTATACAAATCTTATTTTGATATCGATCAACGTATGACAAACGCAGAAGAAGCTACATTTAACCAATTATCAAATTGTAGTAATGTGGTGTTCTCGACGAATTTTCCACAAAAAAATTGCGTTATTTGATTATGTTTCCCTGTTTCAATTCCAAACTACTTCCTACTGAACTCTGTAAAACCAATGTTGTGTTAAGACACAGAGACCAGTTTCGAATTGAGTTTAGAATATTAATGCATATAAATTTGAAATAGAATATTAAAATCGGGCTGATTACAGGAAGTTGTGACAATATATCGTGAATATTGCTTAATTGGCAGGAAACGAGTGACTATCATTGTGCTATAGGGATTCATTAACAAGAACATCAAAACAATTAAATTAACTGTTACGCTACTTATGACAGCCATGAAACACTATATTATTATGTTAACATGTTATCAGAATGATGGAGTGCTAAATTATAAAGATTTATAATATGTTGACGGTTGTGTCAAATGTTAACATGATGTGTTCTAACGCCACAAGCATGTAGATTGTACACCGAATTATCTTCTGTATCTCTTGTGACTTACTATCCTATTTGAACGATGTTTAAAGTTATAAAAGAAATAAATGTATTCATTCTTTGAAGAGTGAGCCACTCTTTAAAAAAAATAGACATTATGTTGCTAGCTATTCGGAGTAAAAGAAATATTGACAAGGCTATTTCGGAGTGCTTGCAAACATCATGAGATCATGAGGCATCCAGCGTTACATTTTATAGAATGAACAAAAGAGCCAGCATATGATATGTTGTGTTCAAAAGAGCACTAAACAATGCTAACCAGATCCTGACTAATTGCATGTGCTTGCTTTTATTCTAGTTCTCTAAAACCTCCCAGCATTTAAACTTGTACTTTGTAACCATTTCGTCGTAAAGATCCAAAGGAAGGAAGGAATCGGATTGTCATAATGGACTTAATCTTGATATAAGTTCTATAAAATCTTAAATACTTATCCGGTTCTCATTAAAATATACGTCTCTGTGTCAACGTATTGGTTTGTAAGTGTTATCTAAAACTAGGAGCATTTCTAAATTGGTTCTTTTACATTGAAATTATACTAAAGACATTTTATATTTTACTCATACAAATATAACATTTATATTTATTTGCATAGAGCCTGTCCGTCTAATATTCTCATAAAAGTCATGTATAAGTGTTTTAATATGTCATTAACATGTTATTATCATGCTGAAGTTCATCGTATTACTAAAAGAGTTATACAAAATAAGTCTGATGTTTTCTTATCTTTTCATCTTTCTTCTTAACTTAATGGCCCCGAACATCACCGATTAGTCATATACGGTCAAAATGGCTGTTTCATGCAGGGTTATTAATTTCATGCCTACCGTATCTATTACCAAAGTGTTAAAGGTGCAATTACCAGTTTGTGTTTATGTGTTACCCTTATCTTAATGAAGCATAACATTTCTGAAATTCCTTCTTTAATGAAATTGACCTTTAAGAATCCGATATCATATTTTATTGCCAATGCTTCCAGCAGTCTTTTTAGAAGATAAGGATGACATTTATGTATTGTAATAGCATTTAACTAAGACTTGAAGACCGTTAATGTGACACTGGGGAATAGGGCTAATCTTTTCCAATGCTAGAGACCTCAAATGTATGCGTTATCACGCCCTTAAGACGAGGAGGACATTGCCTTAACATGGGATTATATCCGATCTGCTACAAAAAGCCTTTTGTATAGTATGGAATACCATATAAAGAGAAGCCCCGTGTTGAACAGATTGTTCCTTTCTCAATGATTATTAAGGGATCCAATGCTTTTCTGTACCAGCACCTTATATGTGTACTCTATCATTAGCATGGCACTATAGTTAATAAATGGCCTAGACAGAGAGACCTATAGTTTCCGGGTGAGATAGAACCCTAGCATCGCTAGTTCTAGGATGACAAATTTCAAAGGTGCTATCTCATGTATGACATGTGCGTGTGTTCTATCAATGGGAAATACTAAAAGTAAATACGTCCAGAATTTCTTCTTTTTGAGATGTAAGGGTTTATTCCTCAAAAGTTTTGTTCTTGTGAAGTGTGAAGTTAAACTTTAAGTGGAACGTTTTCTTTTTTGAGTTGCAAGGATAAATACCTCAACAGATTTTGTCCCTGATGAGCTGTAGGGGAACATTTGTATATACCTCACATGTTTCGAAACAAGTAAAACTAGAATTGACAAACTGTTGTAATCAATACACATTGTAGTATCGGAAAATCATGTATCGGAGCGGATATATTTGTTGACAGTACAGATGTAAATACAGCTATATACTATAAAGTTATTGGATGGAACCATAGGTCAGTTTGTATTAATTCAGATTTTGCTTTTTTCCCTTTGTTTTAAAGTTAGTAAGAAAAAAACAATACAAGTCCGTAATCCAGTTGATACAATTATTTTACTTTCCCTTATTTAGAAATGTTGTTGAATAGTGTAGCGTCCTGAACTCAAAGAAGGTTTACAATAATAAACAACCTTGCAGTAGTCTATTTGTAGTGTGATTACTCAGACTTGCCGATCCCAGACAGTATCGGTAAATGTGCGGGAACTAACACGTCACCAAAGAGATGGATATGCCTATCACGTACGTAACACCGTGTTTAACGCCTAGTTAGATATTTACATATATACTGACACAGACTCTCGAGAAGAAAATAAAGATGTTCTTTTGTGTTAAAATGAAACGCTAAAAAGTATATAAAAACTAAACAATCACAATTGGGGTTTTAGATTATACACGTGGCTCAATGTTAAATTATCTTCCCAGCATGCATCACATTGATGAGATTTGATTGAAAACTTGTAAGGTAGACAACATTGCGCTCCTACTGTGCCATTTGTCGTGAGATCAATCAACAAGATATCAATAAAAAACGGTATACAATTTTTGTTTCGGGACACGCAGAGCAGAACTCAGAGCTGGAGGTATCGGAGGTCTCTTTGACTAATTCTCCATTCAAATGAGAGAATAAATAGCAACCTGAGATAAAAAAAAAAACACAACACCATGGTACCCGATGATACCCGTCGATAAACATCTAAATTGCCGGTAAAGGAACAATGTTTTTTATTTGATTATATAAGTGCACAGTTACATGTATTGACATGTATAATTAAATGTAAGATTTTTTGTTCAATTTAGCGAACCTCTGGCGAGCTTAAAAGAAAGAATTTCGTGACGAGTTTTATAAATGTCATATGAAATAAAAATGACTATAAGATCCTTTTTATCACATACTCAAGATTTGGGGCATTTATTCGTGTAAAACGACAATTTTCATGCAATATTGAAATGTAAAAAAGCGCCATTTTGACTCCAGTGCGTAAGTCTGTGACGTCATGTACTTGCCCTAGGCGTGACGTCATGATTATACAGGGCTGATAGGTCATATTACATGGGTTAATACGCAAAAGCCTATTAACTGGATAGCACAGTACATTATGTGATAAAAGTAAATACCGATTCATTGAATTGATATGCATTGACTTGACGTTCAATGCCATCCAAATAGGTATTGCCACCTTTAAAGATAATATTCTTTATCTTTTCACGAGAGTTTTTAAACTTCATTTCAATTTCTCCTTCGATTTGTCGGCTCCACATTTCATTTTCATGATAATCAAATTATGCGCGTTTTAATTTGCTCATGCTCCTCGTTGACATACCAAGCTTTGGTTGTTTTATATGTTTAACGCGTTGTATACGAGTTTACGATCAGTGAATAATCACCTGATGAATCGGTAGTCCACGCTTAACGCCTCCTGAGGTTTTCTGTCGATCTAAACACGGTTCTTCTTACATTCGTCGTGATAATTGCTTAAGACTCTTAAGCTAGATATGTCGAAGAGATTTATACATGAGTAAAAAATACTTCGAACTTGGTTCTGTGTCCATAATATCTTGTGCGTCAAGCGTGAATCGCCCGTGGGAAGGGATAAATCTTTCTGAGCGTATTCACTGTTGTGAGGAACCATTCGAACGCGCCGCTTTGTCTGCAATGTCTTATAAATCTACAGTCAAATTTAAAACAAAAATACATAAGGGAGGCATAAAGGACCATTCATTTGTTCATCGTAGAGATTCCATTTGGGAAATGTTTTTTGGAGATTATATTTCATTGGATAGATGTTTGCGGTTCAACAACTTAAAATAACAAAGAGTCATTTTAAATAACAATTTGTATGTGTAAAGAGTAGACCCGTTCGTTGAGACGAGGGAAAACGAAAGACATGACAGAAACAGCGAGTATTATAAAATGAAATTAAAACCGATCACAACATTTTCACTAAACGAATGCCGAGGGCTCCGTTACCAAGGAAACATAGCAGATGAATATTACTGCTGAAATTGCTGGTTACTTTTATGTTAAAAACAAATCTAAATGAACAAAAGAGGATGTAATTGAAAACGAATCATGAATACAAAACACGTATCTATGAAGGTTTTGAGATCTTGTATTTGATCGGATTGACCTCACAGAGTGATCACGAAGCTGAATAATGAACAAAAGAAGCAGCTTTCTGCAGATTCCTAAATAGCACAGTGTATGTCCATACACGTTTACATGTCATGGAAATTGCACTTTTGTTCAAGAACAGCATAGTCTTGCCTAAAAACGTAAGCATTAAACTGCAGCGTGTATTTTTATTTCCTGATGCATTACGAAAAACATGTTGTTCCCTCTCCTGGGTCCAGTACCTGCGCACAGGTAGTTCACACGGCGCGTATAGGTACGTGATATAGTCGTTGT